GGAAGATGGAAGGGAAAGGCGATTCCTGCCATTTGCGGAGCGCTGGGGCGCGGGTAGCGCCAGGTGGAGCGGGACGGAGGAAACGAGTGGCTCAAGGGTGGTGTTGCGGCGACGGCGGCGCTTGGCCTGTGCGTCTTCGTAGCTTACCGACGAATGAGACGATTGGGAGACGGACGGGGCGGCGCGCCCCCTGCGATTTGGCCCTCGTACGCGGGCGTTATTTCCATACTCGCAGGGAAGACCGCGGGCGAGGCAGCGGGAGCAGGACGGGTGCTCGCCCGAGCACTGTAACCAGCTCAATGCAATTCATTTTTGAAAGAGGACGAAAGCAAGGCCACCTTCGCCTTTCTACTCCGACATTTCTCGCATGCCTGGGCTGTCCTGAGACGGGGATTCTCGGGCTTGCGGTAGAATATTCCTGCGCTCGGGTCGAAGCTGCCTGGGAGGGTCATGCTCATGTCCGGTGGGGGCGGCGGTGGAGGGAAAGACCATGGACCATTTGCTGTGAGAGGATCGTGTGGATAGACGGTTTCTGTGTCCATACTGCGGAATAGAAAGGAGATGATGAGAGTTGAAGACAAAGAAGAGAAAAGGGTGGCTGACTTGAATTTCCTCTTTCGGTGCAAAAAGTCTAGCATCCCAAATCGGGCAGGCGAGGTCCCTATCTCGTTCGTTTTTGGACCCGCGGATGCAGATCGTGCATAAATCCCGTTCCAGTACTTACAAAAAAATCTCAACGGCGGCCTCTTTGTGCGTAATCAATTCCCTGCTCTAAAACCCCGAGCCGAGCAGCGGCACTTCTCTGAGACGCCCCTTCTTTCACTCTTCTTCATTCATTTGGCGTTCAAATTGCCGTTTAGAGCGTTGCCAGTGGCAATCGAATGGCGTTGCACCTTCTCGCCGAGGGGCAGCAAACTTTTAGCCTTAGATGATTTTTTAAGCTTATCGCTTTCGCGGGAGATCCCCGGCGACACACTGGATTGCCGCGTGTCGTATTTACGTCGATCTTCTACTGGTCGCATGCTTTGTTGGGGGATATTTTTTCAACTTCCAGTTGACGTTAAGCTCAACCTGGGCCCTGACTGACTGGCTGGCTGGCTGATTGACTTGTGACATATTGGACTGGACGCCCAGACTCAATTCAGGCGTTTCAGGTCTCGACACGATATTCAGGGCAATAGATACACTGCACTCTGCCATTATCTTCGGCCAATGTAGCACGTACTTCGCTACAAATGAGAGGAGGAAGCGGGCGTGATTTATGAGCACTTCTGCGAATAAAAGAAGACCATCTGAAGCAGCTAGAACTGCGTCCACCCAGGCCAGGTAGCTTACTGATTTTTTTTTCGCAAAGTTTACATTTACAGTAGTAAGTTGAATGGATTGGTTCAAATTTTGAGAACGCGGACGTAGTGCGTACTACGGTGCACCGCTGTGTTTTTTATTCTAAAAACAATGGTGAGCACGAAATCCCTTCCGCACCATATCGAAGCCGTTTTCTCACAGTTTGGATTGAAGTTCGAATCATTCTACTAGGACTTAGACCGGTTTCAAACCTGACGGAGAAACGCGGACGTTGTGCACGGTGCACCGCTGCGGCGAGTGAATGAGGCATAGCGTTAACAAATGCATGCAGTTGAAGGGGTTCGACTCCCCGCGTCCGCATAGCGCCACAGTGTACTTGTTTTCGCGCCGTTCCCATCCAAGTCACAAGGGTCCGCGTTAGACCCTATATTTAAATGTTAGGAAATCGGGCGTGGTGTAAAGTGCATGTTCTATTACCGGGCTTGAATGTCTGTCAATTGGGTCGTTGACGTTGTTAGCGGGGCTGGACTCCCTCCGCAGGTTTGCGTTAATCTGTACTTTTTTGAAACAGGTACTTGGACTTATTTAAATACGGAGCGTCGGAGTGGAAGGTCCGCCACTGAATTCCTTGATTATCTCTGCTCCAGCTGACAAGATCTGTTCGGTATTTTCTTTTTCGTTTCCCACGGTTCAAAATTGAGAAGTTGGATTGCGCCGAGGAGGAAGAAGAAAAAGAAAAATGTAATCTGATTACTTAGTTATGTGTGAGATGAGGAATGTGGGCGAGGCCCAAGTAAACGTCGGTTTCGCGATCGAGTAAGAAGGTATCGACGAGTTAAGATTCGCGAACAAATGATGAGTGAAGTCGATGTTGTCCCTTGTACCCAATAATCCTGGATACTGCAATAGAGGTGCTCCAATTACAAATGGTTGACAAAAGAAGTAACCCTTCGCCCACTTCTTTTTCTTCCTCAGTCTTAGTCCGATTAACCTCAAATAAATCGCATGATGTTCCTACTGTTGTTGCTCAACGTAAGACAGGTTACGAATGTATCTAGTATCTGATCATGAACCAGAATAACTATGACACTAGAAGAGCCTGTACTTGAGTCTCTGCGGTTCATTTTCAAACTCCGACGCACATTGACACGGATCACACCGGAACGTCTGGTTTACCGAGACAGCTGCCGAGCGGTTCCAACAGCTAAGCTCTATCTCTCACCACGTAGACCGCCCTTCAGGTACCCTGTTCTCCAGGCGACCGACGGTCTTCTCCAGGTGTGCACTCCCTAATCGAGGGTTGTCCTTTCGTTTGTTCATTGAGCTAGGTCATGGATACCGTAGTAATCCCGCCAAATGCTTTTGAATCAACCCCCGCTGTCAATCCTTCCGAGTCGGGGAGAGTACTTTCCACCCCCAGGGACCCTACCTCCGCCCACGCTTCGAAAGCCCAGGAAACTGCCCGCAAAAACTGTATTAATGAAATCGTTGAGACTGAACGCAAATACGTAAAGGATCTCGAGGCCATGCTTGTAGGAATGATTCCTTTGAAGGTGTCCGAGCCACTGACTCTGTCTCAGAAATATGTGGGAATCTTGTCGGAGAGCAAACGAATCGACGAGGATACCAGACGTCGCCTGTTCGCCAATATCGATGAGATTTTACATTTTCAGTGCAAATTTCTAATTCGCCTCGAACGCACCGCGGTCCTTGAATGGCAAGATCAGCGTTGGGGACAGGATTTTCTCGAAGCTGTGAGGCTGCGTTGTTCCCTTTTGTACTATATCTAATCTGCTTTGCAAACACAGGAAAAAGAATTCAGTGAAGTCTATGCACCGTACTGCGCGAACTACAACAAAGCCTCTGAACTCGTGGTCACGCCTGATCTGCAGCACAAACTTGCGGTAACTTGTTACCTGTCGTCCCAAAGACCATATGATTGATAAACATGTACTTTTCGACAGAGTCTCAACCATGTAATCGACGTCAAAGGGGAACTCCCAGGCTTCATAAAGAAACCCGTTGGACGTGTGTGTAAATATCCACTTCTTGTTGAAGTGCGTATCCCTTTTCCACCCGTTGACAGTGCAATGCCAATCATCATTCCAAGTTCTTGATCAAGGCTTCATCGGCAGACAACTACCAACACTACGAAGAATTGAAAAACGGCTTGCAAGCCGCCAAACGAGTAGCTGACAAGATCAATGAAGCCCATCGCAAGGCCGAGAACGAGGAGACAGTCAAATCCCTCCGGACTCGCGTTGACGACTGGGTAGGGCTTAACCTCGACGATTTTGGGGAACTTCTCCTGGACGACACCTTTGTTGTTACCAGATCGGATGTTGACCGGGAATATCATGTCTTCTTGTTCGAAAAGCTCATGCTTCTCTGCAAGGAAGTCCATCCGAACGAGAATGTTTGCACGAGGGATTCGAGGACCATGCCTCTCCTGATCAAGGGCCGGATTTCCGTTTCTGATATAACACAGGCGACGCCCAGCGTGGAGCTCGACGCTTTGGGTTTGTTCCTCCCTGTCTTTGCGTACCTCAAAAACATTTAACCCCCAGTTTCAATAGCATCTTCATTTCCTAGAAAATACACTCTCGCCGTGTGGTGGAAAGGGGACGACAGTCTTCAATCCTTTACTCTGCGCTCACGTACGGAGTATCAAATGAAGCTCTGGCAGTCGCAGATTAATAAATTAATCGAGGAGTCCGCCCAACACGGCGGGTCACCGACCTTTCAGCCTCGCGACGGATCTGGATTTCAGGATACCTCGGAAGACCCGCTCGTTACGCCATCCGATGGGGAACAGCCGTCGGAAATCCGCCCGCTCCCTGGCCGCGGGACCATCCCCAGCAACGCTCAACCGCTAGAGTCGGAGACCATCGACCAAAACCCTCCCACGCCCGTGAGAGTGAAGGTGCACTTCAACGAGGATATCTTCATCCTTCGGGTCCCGTTGGCGACCGAATACGATGCGCTGCTTGAGAAGATTGAACACAAGCTCTGTCTCTGCGGTCCACGGTCCGACGAGGGGCCCTTGCAATTGATGCACAAGCACGAGGATGGGGATCTGGTTTTGCTGTCTTCTTCAAAGGAGGTACGGACGGCATTGGAGGAATGCCAGGTTTCTGGTGAACAACTAACACTGTATCTTTGGTAACAATGTCATTATGCTCTCGAATATGCTACCTAAACCGGTGCAGACAGGACCTGGTGCACGGTGCACTGCTACGGTGTTGCTAACGGCGTTTGACTCCCCGCGTCCGCATTGCCCCCAAATGTTGACTATCACCTCTTTTTTCCCTCGCAGTTCAAATCCAAGTTGAAAAGTACCCTCCTTGCATAGGTTCGAATGACGCAGAGTAAGAGAAAGCGAATGTGGTGCACGGTGGATTTGTTACCTCCCTTGAGGTCGGGAATCTGTTCAAGCAGCTACTGGGTTCGACTCCCCACATTCGCGTGATATGCCTGGACTCTTTTTCCTCGTGCTGCAGATTTAAGCCGAACACAACGAAAATTGTTCCCTAGGCTGGGTTCAACTCTCCGCCTCCGAATATCCAACTGAATGAACATCTCTTTTTTCCCGTTGTGCAGTTCAATTCACGTTGAAAAGCTAAATTCTCCTTCTCCGTAATTTGAATCCGAGCTGTAAGTTTGACCTTGGACGAGGTTGAAATAGTGAGTTCGAAGCGGATGTGGTGCACGGTGCACCGCTGCCTTCCGTTGATGATTTCGGCAAGTCATGCTCAAGCAGCTACTGGGGTTCGACTCCCCACGTCCGCGTCCGCCAGGATGTGTTACCTTCTTTTTTTCTTGTCCATAAGTTGAATTCAACCTGAGTTTGACCTCCTTGGATGAGGTTGAAATAGTGAGTTGGAAGTGGATGTGGCGCACGGTGTATCACTGCCTTGTGTTGCGGTCAATCGTGTTCAAGCAACTATTGGGGTTCGACTCCCTGCATCCGCATAGTCGCGGAATCCGAAAGTTTTTTCCTTGTCTGTGAGTTGAATTCAACTGAGTTCGACCTTTTTGCACGAGGTTGAAATATTGAGTGGAAAGCAGATGTGGTGTACGGTGCACTGTTGCCTTCCGTCGAGGTTAATTGTGTTCAAGCAGCTATTGGGGTTCGACTCCCTGTGTCCGCATGGCTCTGAGTGGCTTGTCATTTTTTTCCTTGTCTGGGAGTTGGATTCAACCTGCAAGTTTGACCTCTTGGACTCGTTCAAATATCGGGACAGATGTGGATGTGGTGCACGGTGCATCCTTGATCGCGTGAATAAGACAGTAGTTAAGCAGCCCTACTGGGGTTCGACTCCCCGTGTCCGCATTCGTAACCCCCCATATTTTTTTTCCTTTATGTAAGTTGAATCCCAAAAAAAAACTGCAAGTTTGACCTCCTTGGATGAGGTTCAAATTATCAAGATTCAAGACAGATGCAGATAATAATAGCTGAGATATGGTGCGTGGTGCGCTGCTGCCTTCCGTTGAGATCAATCGTGTTCAAGCAGCACTTACTTGGGTTTGACTCCCCGCATCATACCTGGATTGCTTTATGATCCCCACTTTTTTTCTTGTCCATAAGTTTAATTCAAGCTGTAAGCTTGACCTTGGACGAGATTGAAATATTGAGTTGGAAGTGGATGTGGTGCATGGAGGAGGAGGAGGAGGAGGATGTATGGTGCACTGCTGCCTACCATGGTTGGTGATAATTGTTCAAGTAGCTACTGGGGTTCAACTCCCTGTGTCCGCATAATTAGGAAGAACAAAGCTTTTTCTTCCTGCAATTTTTCAAGCTAAAACATCATCCCACTTGGTCATTCGGAATTACTGAGGGTAAAGCGGACGTGGTGCACGGTGCACCGCTGCAGTGCTTCCCGGGTCATTTGGATAAAATGAGCAGCTTCTGGGGTTCGACTCCCCGCGCCCGCATGCACTCTCCCCCTTAAGACTTCTTTTTCGCACAGTTCTGGTTCAAATGAGGAGCAGTTAATAGGCTGGGTTTGAAGATGGAAAGTAACGCGGACGCGGAGTATAGTACGCTGAAGTCGCACTGATCGGAAAGAGCCGGATCACGAAACTCGGCAGGTGCCGGCTCCCGTTGGTTCGAACCAACCCCAGCAGCGAGACCTAACTCACGCCAGGATGCGGCACTGTCCGCTCGTTTTTCTTGAATCTACGGCAATCGACTCTCTGAATACCGCGAAACGGAAGACTTGGTATTCTACCCACTCGAATACCGCCAAAACCCCGCTCGCGTTGCTGCCTTTCTTCCCTCCTCGCCTCGCCCACTCCCAATACCCCGATGGCGTCGCCGTGGAGGTCGGCGGCGTAGCTGACGTGTAGCCCGCAACATGCGACTCGTACGGGCGCGCGAAACCGTATGGAATGCGGAACGCATACACACCGAGCACTCCCAACCGACCCAGCAGAACGCCGGCACGGCGGTCCCTTCAGCTCGCGCCTCGCGCGCCGGATTGTCAATGACTACGGTGGCCAGGGGCGTACACGATGACTAGGTGGAACGAGCGCGACATCCCGCCGCTTTGCCATGGGCGGCAGTATGTCGATACAAAAAAGAGTATCTAATATCCGCAGAGGCCGTTGGATTCAGGCCACTAGCACACCATCCCATTCACCCGTCATTGTCAGCCACCCTCAGCCCACTTTTCCGCGTCAGCCACCATCGCACCCGCCAATCTCTATCCTCACCCCCCGCTGACCCAACTCCGGTGTGCGTGAGGCGAAACGGCTCGCGGTACTCCAGAACAGGACGGCGTTGCATTGCGTTGCGCTCCGCGATGCCATGCACACGAGCGCGCATCCTTGCCCGAGCCATCGCCCCCTCGGCAACGCGGACCCGGGCCCCCCAGAACACGGAACGTGCTCGGATACGGCGCGCGATGTCGGCTCCCGCTGGCAGTGAGAGGGACAGGGAACGAGGGCGGATGGCTCGTTCGTCGGCTGCAGCATGGGGCCGCCAGCTCGGCGGCCTCGGTGCTTCGCTTTCTCTACGTACGCACATACCCTCTTTCGTGATGTCCTCCCTCCCTTTCCTGTTCTTTAGTCCGAGCTCCGCTGTCCGCTCCGTCTGTCAGCCGCCTTCCGCCACTTCTCGCGTCTGCCCCTCCCCTCCCTCTCGATTGTGTTGCGTGTCTGTCAACCACCATCCGTCTCTCCTCCGCACACGCACACACGCACGCACGTATCTCGCTCCGTCCCGCCGCCTTCTCTCTCTGCCTCTTGACGTCAGCGACCTTGGTGTCGCCGTACGCTAACGGCGCGTTTCTTCCGTACGTGATGCGTACATCGACTTCAATGCGCCTGGATGGATGCCATCCACCCATATACATACCATGCACTCAAGTCTCTCGGACCCGGAACGCGATACGCAATGCCGGACGCAGACGCGCGCAACGCGGAGGCCGGGGAGCAGGGGAATGCTACACCACACCGCGGTCTTCGCAGAGTGCGGCCGTCCCCAGCGCTGATTTCCCCGCCCCTTTCGCCAGGGAGGACCTGGATGCACTGGCACGAGGACGATGACAGGGAGCGCGAGGGGAGTTTCGGGTTTCTGGAAGAGGAAGAGGAGGACGAGGACGAAATGGTGGATGGGTGCCCGCCGTCTCGGGCGCGTTGCAGATGTGAGTATCTGGGGCTTTGCTTTCTCTTCACCCTCCGTCGCGAACTCCCACTTCCCTTTGCTCCGCGTCAGCCACCCTCCCTTTTCTCCCCTCAGCCGCCCTCCGTCTGCCCCTCCCCCTCGATTGCGTTACGTGTCAGCCTCCTCTACACTCGCCAGCATCTCTCTTCGTTCATTCGTCACGTATTCCTCTCCGTCCCAGCCAGCCACTTCCCTCTCCCCCTCCCCCCCTCCCTCTGTGTTCTAGATCCGGATCTCTGTGCCCCTCCCACACCCTCTGCGTCCTGCCTTTCGTCACCGCATACTGACCACCTCGCGTTATTCCAGACTGTACCACCTCAAGCGGACCTAACCCCGGTGTGCGTGGGGCAGAACGGCTCGCTGCACTCCAGTGGGCATCGACTTCTGCGTTGCGTCCCTGCGAAGCCATGCACACAAGTGCGCGTCCTTGCCCGCGCCGCGACTTCTATCGCCCCTCGCCAATGCGGACCCGGGCCCCGAAAACGCGGAACCGATGATGGACGCGGGGGGATGCTGCACCGCACCGCGGTTCTCGCTCGGCGCGTCCTTCCCCGCGTTGATTTCCCCGCCCCAAGATCTGGATGCACCGAAGGCGGACGACGATGGGGAGGGCGAAGGGGATCTCGCGTTTCTGGAAGAGGAAGAGGACGAAATGGTGGGCGGGTGGGTGCCCGCCGTCCCGGGCACGTTGCAGATGTGAGTGAGTATCTGCCCCTTTCCTTTCTCCTCGTACGTCTATATCCTCCTTCGTGAACTCCTCCTCCTCTTTTCTCCATGTCAGCCACCCTCCCCTTTCTCCCCGTCAGCCGCTCTCCGCCATCTTTCACGTCTGCGCCTCCGCTTCTATTGTGTTACGTGTCAGCCACCATCCATCCTCCGCTGCACTCGCCAGCATCTCCGCTCCTTCTTCATACATTCATCTCCGTCCCACCGCTCCTGGCGCCAGCCACCTCCCTCTCCTCTCCTCCTCCCTCCCCCTTTACTCTAGATATGGATCTATGTGCCCCTCCCACACCCTCTGCGTCCTGCCTTTCGTCACCGCATACTGACTGCATCGCGTTACTCCAGTTGGTACCAGCTCAAGCAGCGGTGATGGCACTATTCATCTCTTTTACATTCAATATTCAATGTCAACTGCTATGCGACTGCGTTTCTCGCGTCCTCCAAGAAGCTATGTACAACGACCGCGAACACGACGAGAAACACAATCCAACGCCAAGTGGTGATGTGAACAGATGGGCGGCTTCGACCTTGCCTTTCACCCATCTGACGGACGTACGCAGTACATAGGCATAGGCTGTCCTGAACGACTGACGCTGGAACGGCGACGCCACCACTGGACACGGCGCGCCGCCGACTCCATACGTCGAGTGGCCCGACGACAACCCATGCCCATGGGCCGGAACCCACACGATGGAAGCAGACCGCCTTGCCGTCTAGGGCGCGAACGGCGAGCTCAGCATGGGCAGCGCGATGCCAGCACCCCCGCTCAACGACGACGAGGACGACGCGGACGCTGATGGCATCGACCCGGGGATCACGACGCTCAGCCCGCCCACGCCCCTTGCTGCATGCCGACTGTGCGGCGCCGGCGGCAAGGGGACCCACCCGCGCAGCGCGCTCATCTCGAACGCGCCATGAAGGGAGGATTGCGAATGCGACGCGGCCGCGGAAGAGGGGTAGGTCGCGAAGTGCTCGCGCTCGTGCGTGCTCGGGCCGTGGTATTGGAGCGCGCTGGCGTATCGCCCAGTCGCATCGTACGTCTGCCGCTGCTGCTGCGGCTGCTGGTGGCTCTCGCCGTTGCCGTGGTCCGTGTACTCCCCCGCCCCCGCCACCGACATCCGCTGGGTGCCATGCTCGCAATCGTACCCGCCCTGCGCATCAAACGCGCACGCGGGCGCCGAGTGCGGCCGCGACCCCGCGTCGTGGCTGTGGCCGTACGGCATGTACTGCATCGCCTCGGCGGAATGCGACGAGTGCGGTCGCGACGCGAACCCGGAGTATGATGAGGAATACCCGGGCGAGTGCGAGTCAAGGTGTGCAGCGGGGGCGGACAGGGCGCTTGAGGGGGGTGTGTCGGCGTACGCGGAGGCGGGGGAGTGCTGGCGCGGGGAGTAGGTTG